GTTTGACTTAAATTTGAATTTGAATCTGAATCAAAATTGGACTACAGGATAAAGGATGATTTTTCTCTTCCTTCCCTATCTGGATTGGTTCCACACACACAGGGTTAGGAAACCCTAAGGGGGGCCGGCCACCTTAGAGATAAGGGGAAGGGATTTTTGTTCCGAAATTCAAAATTGGAGATAAGAATTTGATCCTGTTTTGAAGTTTGACTTCTACTCTTTAAATATGAGAATGATAGAAAATTGTGGACACAATTTTTGAAACATATTTTCAGCCCTAAGAGTTAGTGTGGCCGAATTTACTCAAGGAAAAAGCGAGCAAATATTTTTTCTCCAAAAAAATTCCACATTGTGCATGCGTTGCTGTTTGTAGAAATTCGAGTGTTTAAGAAATCTGTTTTGTCTCACGTGTGCCCACACACACATCTACGTGGAATCTAGGAATTGACGTGGAAGACTTTGGTATTCTAAACACAAAGATTGGAGCAAGGAGTGTTCGTGGTCAAAGAATTCAAGTTATCATCCGAGTCGACTTCCAGGTATTTTTCCGGATTGAATTCTTGATGTAAATTAATGCGATTAATTTATTCATGCATAAATTAATATAATCTATAGAGTATCTCAAAAGTTTTATGAAAATTTTTGTTAGACACGATCCGCTTTCCCCACGCTTCCGCATCCAAATTCGATTCGGGAACCAACAATTCGGACTATATTTCTCAAAAAATTGAACAAGGCAATATATACAATATTAGTAACTTTTATGTTACTGAAAATAAACTAACATACAAAGTCGTTCCACACAGTGCTATGATCTAATTTGCACGAGCAACATCCTTTACTCCAATTATGGAAGACACACCATATATCTCATTTCACAAATTCTACTTCATAGAATTCGACCAGCTATATCAAAGAATAAATAATACTGACATATTAACATGTAATATATGTTACCTAACTTATTTTATTATTATAATAAATATTTCTTGAATATTTATTTACAAAATTCCCCTGTTTATATATAATATTAGATGTTATTGGCGTATTAACAAGTGTCCAAGCACTCGAACATACACATGTCAGTACTAGACAAACAACACAGCGATCCATAACGATACAAAACATCATGTACAATAAATTTATGCTTTTTTCCCTCACATTTACTATTCATTACAACTATTTAACGTGAATACAATATTTTTCCACTTTTATGATTCAATTTTATTAGTCATTTTTATGAACTACATTTTTTCAACAGAAATGAACAACTACAAGTAAGCCTATGGGGACATAAAGCCGATCAATTTAATGAGAATGTACTTAGAACACTAAAGGCACCAGTTGTGGTAGTTTTCTCAGCAATGTTGACGAAGCAGTATCTAGGTATTTTTAACATTACTTTATTATAACATTTTTATATACATATATAAAAAAAATGTAGCATACATTTATTAGTTACTCTATTATATTTCTAGGTAACTCATATGTTTTGAGTACATCAGCAATAATCTTTTATATTGACCCAGACATCTCAGAAACAATAACGTTAAAGACAAGGTAAACACATATATATATAATATATTATAATAAATTTATCATATTACATAATCATACATTTTATTTATATTTTCCTTAACTTATTTGTATTTTTATACAAACAGATTTTCCCATCAAAATCAACAAATTGAATTCCTACCACCGCCAAAAACACCTATCCAAATAATTGAAGAACAAATATCAGCAAACAGAAGAACAATAAACGAACTCAAAACATTGGATGCACAAAATAATCGGGTTAGTACTATTAACTTTCTTATTATTTTTTTACTACACTTTGTAAACAATTTAAAACCACAATATTCTATCTTTTATGCAGGGTGGAAAATTCACTGTAAGAGCGACCATAGTAAACTTTTTAACATCTCAAGGATGGTTCTACAATTCTTGCCCCAGATGTTATCGACAACTAAAATAGGCAAGAATAGGTTGGTGGTGCGACAATCATGGCCATATAAAATCAACACCATCTCCATGGTAATTAAATTTATTACCATATCATTTGTATTTACTATATATCTTTACTTACTTTAACGAAAAATTAATAACATTAAAAACATATTTATATACATGTTACAGGTACAGATTAACAATCCAAATTGAAGATCATACTGGAGACATGGAAGTTATCGCTTTTGGCAAAACCGCTCAGGCATTAATAAAAAAACCGTGTTCTGCACTAACAATTGACGAAGGCTTTACCGATCCATTTATAATACCACCAG